GAAGGAGCAGTAGCGAAGACCGACAGCCAGCAGTTCCTGTCCACCTTGACGAGCGCTTCCTGTCGGTGCCGCCGCGTCTAAATCATGCACTTGGCATCGCTCGGACGTGTGCATGTTTTCTGGGCGAGGCCCTTCGAGGAGCATCCTCATCCATCGGGCCAACAGAAGCACACAAAACAGAAACAAGCACGAAGAGTGGACTTCCGAGCGACGGCGAGTTGAGCCATCGCATGTGCGGAAGATCCAAACCGGCACGGAATGAGCAGTGACGAGGACCCACAGCAGTTCCTGTCTATCGACACAAACTCAAACGTTTTGGCGCTCTGCGCGGCTTTCTTGGGTTCGCGCTTGGGCCTCCTGGACGCCTCCGGCGTCGCTCCTGGCGCGTTCCGCGCGCGAGGGAGGGGCGTCCAGCGCAGATTCAAGAAATCCGCTCGGAGCGCCATAAGGTTATGTGTATGCAGTTTCTTCTTTTTCTAGTGACGAAGACCGAGAGCAGTGCCTGTCCATTTTGAAGAGCGCTCGCTGTGAGTGCCTCCGCGTCCAAAGCATGCCGCGAAGCGGGTCCCGAGCAGGGCGACGACGACGAGGGCAGCGGCAGCGATGGTGACGACGGCGGAGATGATGTGCGGAGTGAGAAAGCTCTCTCCCCGTGCGGGAAGAGATCGCTTGATCCAGTGCAGGGGTTCTAGGCCTCTTAGATGGGGTCGGAGTAGCTGGAGTCGGAGGATCGCGCCGCATCGACGATGCATCGGCGATGCTTCTCGATGCGGAGCCTGCTTTTCCGCACGCCGATTGCGCCGATGCATCGCCGATGCATCGCCGATGCATCGCCGATACATCGGCGATGCATTTGCGATGCGACGCGATCCTTCGACCCCACTTACTCGGACTCCATGTGGGAGGCCTGTAGGGGTGCTGGATTAAGGCGCATTGGGGCATTGCTAAGGGGTTAAGCCGCTCGAGTATTTTGGTCTTGCCGGAGGATTGGCAGCGCGGGACTTTCAGGAGGGGTTCCTGGGTTGTAACTCTTGGTAGGCTGAAGTCAGCATCGGCGCTGGTATATCCTTCTGTCGAATCCAGTCAACTCTTTTTTGTAAAGTTGGCTTGCAACGACAGTGCTATCCCGATTAATCTCGCCTGCCCAGTGGCGCCCTGCACGCGAATGGGCTTCTACTCACCCTCCTCCTGATCAAAGCGATGCCTTTCCATGTTCACAGTGATGCCCGTCCGTGTTCCACGGGGTCTCCTCCCTGAACGGTATCGTTGTGCAGATCACTCAGGCATCAGCGGGTGATCTGCACTCAATTACCATATCCCTGTAGCCCTCCCCGATTCACACTGCCTCGTGACCCTCAGTGCAAGCATGGGCAAACCAACCCTCCAAGGCCACCCTTGCACCCTTGCCTCCTGGGTCCATCTCTGGACGCTTCAGCTGGACGCGCCCCGCTCGCAAAGTGTCGAAGCGGCCTTCCAATAGGGGAACAAAAAGTGGCATAAACATGAAAGCTCGGAGGTCCGCGCGGGCCTCCGAGTTTTTATGTTTCTGTCCCGTTTTGTTCCCCTCGAAGAGGCCTTCCGAGGCCCCTGCTTCCCTGCCGTGCATCCTTGTGCTGCCGGTCGACGGCACCTCGCAAACCTCCGGCGTCACGGCCACACGACGCGGCCGCGCGTCTCGCGCCCCGGAGAATTCGCCTCCTCCTCCTCCTCCTCCTCCTCCTCCTCCTCCCTCCTGCCTCTTCCTTCCCCCTCCCTCCTCCTCCTCCTCCTTCTCCTCCTCTTCCTCCTCCGCCCCCCTCCTCCTCCTCCTCCTCCTCCTCCTCCTCCTCCTCCTCCTCCCTCCTCCTCCTCCTCCCTCCTCTCCTCCTCCTCCCCCTCCTGCCTCTTCCTTCCTCCCTCTTGCCTCCTCCTCCTCCTCCTCCTCCTCCTCCTGCCTCTTCCTTCCTCCCTCTTGCCTCCTCCTCCTCCTCCTCATCCTCCTCCTCCTCCTCCTCCTCCTCCTGCTCGCGACGGACAGGATCGGTCGCGCCCCGGAATCGGCGTCCGCCCAACGTACTGATCCTATGTGTGCGTCCCACCCCCAGGGGTGTCGCACGCACCGAGGAATCCTGTAGCCTACGTGCGTCGTGGCGGGCGATTTCTGGCCACGCCGCTCGGGAAACGATCTACTACAATACGGGTCTACTATAGGTTCGGGTCGGACGCGCGCCTCCGAGGAGGACATATAGTGGTAGAGTGCCTATGTGCTTCCCACAGAACTCAAACACCTGCTTGCCCCGCCATTCCGGATTCGCCCTCAGGCATTTTAATTGCAGGCCCCTGACGCGCACAGCGCTCAATGTTTTAAGCTTCTGGTGCGCGTATTACCCCTTCGCGACGGCCCGCTGTGGGCTTGATCGCGCGACGCCCGCTCCGCCGCAACCTGCATCCAGCATCATCGAAGCCGGCGTGCTTCAGTGTGTGATCCAGTCAAGTTCAGACCTTGTCAGCCACGCGCAGGGTAGGGGGAGGGTTGAAGGTATCTAATGGCCTTCGGCCCATCCCACCACCGTGCCTCGGTTGTGGGAATGAGGCCTATCGGATGTTCGTTGGGATCTCATGGGAGGACTCTCGGTGGCTTCTTAGAGGCAGTTTTGAGGCCTCTTGGGGCCCATTTTGTGGCCTCTTGGGGACTTTTTTAGGCCTCTTAGGCCTCTTGGGGCGGAAGGCTCGGATTTTCGGTTAGGGTTCCCTCTCTTGGGTCCCTTTGGGGCCGTCTTGTGGCCCTCTTGGGCCGTCTTGGGTGCCTTTTGGGCCGTCTTGGGGCCTTCTTGGGCCTTTTTGGGGCCCTCTTGGGCCGTCTTGGGACCATCTTGGGGGCCTCGTGGGCCGTCATAGAGCGTCGGGAAGCCAAAGAGGCGAGACCGCCAAACATTTTGAATTTCTAGTGCAAAGCACTGACTTATGCTTCCTGGGGCCTTTTTTGAAGGCCTCTTCGAGGCCTCTTGGGGCACCTTGGGGTCTCTTGGGCCGTCTTGGGGCCATCTTGCGCGTCTTGGGCCGATCCTTCGGCGTGAACCCCCACGGGAGACTTCTGAAGCACTCTTTCCGTTCCCGTGCCAGCGCAGGTTCTAACACGCCCATTCCGTGCAGGCGCGGTTGTGGACCCCTCGCAATTCTTAGCACACGGTGTAACCCAATGCTATGACATGACTTGTTCGTGTTCTGCAAGGATAAGATGTGCACTGCGATGCTGTACGATGTCATGCAATCCATTGCAGCGCTAATGTACTTCCTGCTTTTCTGAAAGTCCCCGGGGAGCAGGGCGGGGGGATCCCTCGTGAATTCAGCGGTCGAAGATCAAACTGCAACCAGACGTTTCTTTAAGCAGGAGAAGCAAGAGCCCCTCAAGGCAATCGAGGACATGCTTGTACATGAATTGTGGTTCTATGTAACTTCCTGCTCAAGCAAAACTCGCCATGAAGGAAAGGGGTCCTGATGGCAACGGGTCCTAGACCACGGGGCTTCCCCAAGAACTAGTTCTTCGTCTCGAATCTTTTGTTGACGCTCACGGTGCCCAGGCAGGCCCCCCCCCCCCAGACGGCGAAACACCTCCAGGGCACATTCCCACTCAGGACTCGTTTCCTCCATGCTGCAGCCATGCACTATGCCAGAATTTGGCAATCGCCCCGGCTCAATCCGGCTCCACAGCCCCCGATCGGGCTTAGCAGCCCCCCACCAATCCCACGAAGACCTTCTGGGAGCTGCCTCCCAACATCTGCCCTCCGCCCCCTGCCCTTCCTCCCTTCCTCGAACGGGCCTAGGACGAGGATAAATCTGTGAACGCAAGGCCGGGACGCCCGAGACATCCTCCAGAGCCGCCGGTTCTCAAAGACTCTCGATGTATCCAGACCCGATCTTATCTTCGCTCTGTTGTCCGTACTCCCCTCCTCCCCCCTGGCCCCACTGCCGGTGCCCCCCTCCCCTCCTCTCCTGCCCCCCCCCCTGTACAGTCGACCCGCATAGTTGGGATGGGCAGCCTTGCCAAGGGTACCCTTGCATCCTTGCCCCTTCGGCCCATCCTTGGCCACTTTCGTCGTCCACGCCCCGCTCGAGAAGCCTCGACATGGGCGTCCAAGGCCCTTGCACCCTGATCGCGCATCCTTCTGATACGGGCCAGCTCTATAATTACCAGCCTGGAACATATCCCTATCCCTATGCTGGGCACCTCCTCATCACGACGCCAATCTTAGGGATTCCCTTATTTTTTGAGGCCGAATCCCTAAGATTGTCATCGCTTTTTGGCGTGTCAATTTTAGGGATAGGGATACGTTCGAGGCTGGTAATATAAGCCCGTCCTTCCCCGTGGTCCCGCTGCCGGTGCCCTCCCCTCCTCCCCTGCCACCCTTACTCGACTCCGGGGCGCAAATGCGTTGCTGGGTTCTCGCGTGCAGTGCGCTGCTTGCAATACCATGCGATATACAAGTCTCCGACGCAGTACGCCTGCTGCACGATTGCCCCAGATCAATGGCGCCACCCCCTTTCAGCTGGACCCCCCTTTTTGGGCCACCCGAACACTTGCAAGCCCCGCTGCTCTGGACGCCCGAGATGGGTACTGAAAGAATGGGTACAATGCCGAACAGCAGATCTGGTTCATTGTGACAGGACTCGCTGTCCACGCCGCCGCGGCCTGTGTCCATTCGAGACAGAAGGCCGCCTGCCCAACAGCGGCCGCTGTCGGTTTGGAACAACATTTGCTGTTGGGCATTGTACTCCAGATTTCGTAATACAAGGGAGGGGGTCTGGACCCTCCAAGACAAGCCATTTCAGACCTCCCCCGTGGGAGAACCCTCCGAAACATCGTCCCCAGACCCCCCAGGCCCTCCAAGATAGCCTGGAAGAGACCCCCCCCCCGAAATGAGACCCCCCTCCCTTTATTGCGAAATCTGGAGTACCCATTCCTTCCGTACCCCTTTCGGGCGTCCAAAGCTGCGGGCGCCCCCCCTCCCGCTGCCCCGCAGGCCTCTCGGGCCACCGCTCCGCCGTGCGCTTCGTGGCGCTCCCCGCGGCCCCCTGTCTCGCGCCCGCCCGCGCGCGGCACGCGGGCGGGCTGCCGGCGGCCTCGGCCACCCGGCGACCTCCCCTCGTCGGGGAGGAAAAAACACACACACAGACACAATTCATCGTCTGCTGCCCAGAAGATATGGGAAAATGTGGGAAGTGGGGGGGAAGACAGAAACCCAGAACATGTGGGGAAGTATGGGGAGTCCTGCTTTTTGTGTCTATTTATTTGTGTGTCCCAGGGCTCCTTCACCTTGTCGGGGAGACGGAAGGCTCGAGCAGGCCGGAACTCGGGTTTGCCGACGTTTTCGATGAGCGCGTCCTGCGTCAAACCTTCGATAGGGGCCAGGTCATTTTTATGATGGCCCCGTCGGGCCAACCCGAGTCCCCCGTGCCCGAGTCTTACGTCTCCCCGATCTTGGCATCGCTCGGACGTGTGCATGTCTTCTTCGCGAGGACCACCGATGAGAGGATGAAAAGGTACCCGTACCTCTGCCCTTCCCTCGTTTTCCCAATTTTTTGGCCTCCTGGGAGGCCCTTGCCGCCACCGCTGGATTCGCCCCGAGATCCTGGTCAGAACGCGCCCCCAGGAGAGGTCCAGGGAGATTCTGGTTTCCCCAATCTCGGATCCCCTTTCGGGTATAGCCAGGACCCCCGGTAAGGGGACCCGGTTAGTGGTAGGGCCCCAGAGCCCTTGAATCGGCCAGAATCACTGAACCAGGTCTGCCGCAGCTGGTGTTGTTTCGGGTGACGGCAGTTCCGGTGAGCGGAAATGGGACGGGGGGGCGCCCCCGGTACAGATCACTACACCAGGTTCCACTGAACCCAGCTCTGCCAAAACGCCCGACCCCTGTGGACGAAGCACGCGCGCGGCGCCGAAGCAGGCACGGGGGGAAGGGGCCGTCGGAGCGCCGGCGAGGCCGCCGTGCGGAGCACGAGGAGGGCACGCCGCGGAGGCCTCCCGCGGTTCTCTCTCGGGTCTCCGAGGGGGCCCTCCGCGGGTCCCGGGGCCGTCACGAGAGCCGACTCAAAGAGTGGAAAGCCGGCCATGGGCACAGGGGCGCCGCATCTGGATTGTCTTAGCGAAGGGCCCAGCCCCTGTCTTTCACCACCCACCAAACCACCCAAACCCAACCCGAAGGCTCGGATTTACCCTCGGTTTCCAGTGTGGGGGGGGTCGGGGGACATTGAAGAACACGTGTGGAACCCTTACCCCCCCCAACCCGAAATTCGGGTCTTCGGGTTGGGTTGGGGTGGTCTGGTAGGTAGTCAGTGTTGGGGGAACAAAAAGTGGCATAGACATAAAAACTCGGAGGTCCGCGCGGATTTCTCGGATCCGCGCTGGACCCCCCTGGCGGCGCCTACGGCGCCGCCCCTGGCGCGCTCCGCGCGCCAGGGAGGGGGGTCCAGCGCCGATCCGAAGAATCCGCGCGGACCTCCGAGCTTTTATGTTTATGTCACTTTTTGTTCCCCTAATTGTCTTAGCGAAGGGCCTGGCCCCTGTGTGGCCGCAGATGCTGCTCCCTGTGGGGGGCACGATCCGCGCGCAAGGTGTCCCGACCCGGGCGCCGGTAGGCCATGCGAGCAGCTCCTCTGGAGCCAGAGGTGGAGTGCCCTCGCGGGACAGGATCCTGCGAGGGGTGTGCCGAGATGAGCCATGTGGGCGCCACTGCTGGGGCCGCAGGTGGAGCTCCTCCCTTCAGGGCCACGATCCGCGCGAGGGGTGTGCCGAAACAGGCGCGGGAACGCCACGTGGGCGCCCCCGCTGGGGCCGTAATTCGGCGGAGCTCCCCATCGGACCGCGATCCTCGAGAGCGATCGGGCGAACGGGGCGCGGACAGCAGAGGCAAGGCCAGGAGAGGCGGCAGAGGCGGGAGGAGTGCTGGGACGCGCGGCGCTGCGGAGAAGATGCGAGGACACAACTACGCAGGAGGGACCGAAACAGATCGGTGACCGAGAACGTGCCCGAAGTTGTGGCCGAAAACGTAGTGTGGCCGAAATTGTGACCGAGGTTGAAAACCAGTTCGTTTCGAACCGAACATCCCGGTCACACTCGGGCGCGGTCGGAAAATTTCGGGCGCCGCTTTCGCTCGCACTCGGGCTGATCTTCGGGCACAGGTTCGGTCACGGCTCCCTCCCTGACAGTGACGGAATCTGCACGAGGGCCAGTGAAAAAGCAGGGCATCGGATCTCTGGGCCGTGCCTCGTGGGCCGTTTTCCGCCGCGGGTCGCGCCTCGATCTGCTCCGAGGGGGTCGCGAGGCTGGCAGAGGTCGCCTTCGGCGGAGGTCGCCTTCGGGATACCGTCGGAGGGCAGAGGCGACGGGGGTCGGGTGCCGGCGGCGGAGGCTGGCGCGAGGCGCCTGGAGGCAGAAAGAGGTGAGGCGCCAACGTTTTCGAGGCCAGGGTGCCGATGGCGAAGCGTCCCGGCTCGCCTATACGCCCACCGAAGAATGGTCTAACAGCTGATATGGCTCTTTGTTCGTGAACTGCGCGCCGCGAGAGTGGTGGAGTTCGTAGCACCCCCGCAGTTGCGGATGAGAGTGAGGGGGCGGCGAGGACGTCGCCAGTCTGCGAGGCTTTGAGGATGCCCGCCGCAGGGGCCAAATCTTTACAATTTGCACAACGAGCCCGCCGCTGGCGCCGATTTTGTCCGTTACAGCACTGTGGGTGGGTCGCGGGTGGGTCGCGGGTGGGTCGCGGGCAGGGTCGCAGGCCGTGGGTCGCGGGCCAGGCCGCGGTGTGGGTCGCGTGTGGGTCGCGGGCGGATCGCGGGTGGCTCGCGGGTGGGCCGCGGGGTGGGTCGCGGGTGGGTCGCGGGGTGCGTCGCGGGGTGGGTCGCTTGTGGGTCGCGGGTGGGTCGCGGGTGGGTCGCAGGTGAAGCGCGGGTGGGTCGCGGGGTGGGTCGCGGGTGGGTCGCGGGTGGGTTGCGGGTGGGGCGCGGGTGGGTCGCGGGTCGCGGGCCGGGTCGTGGGTGGGACGACGACAACAAATAACAAACAACTAACAGCGTAGCAACAAAAACAACACCAACACCAACACTAACACCAACACCACCACCACCACCACCACCACCACCACCACCACCACCACCACCACCACCACCACCACCACAACCAACACCAACACCAACACCAACACCAACACCAACACCAACACCAACGTAAACAACATCAGCGACACCAGCAACAATAATTTTACGACTGTTCACTCCTTTCTGTTTGCGTACCATTCAACACGTATATCCCGCACCCTCGGTACCCGCCCTCTTTGTCTTCGATCGTGCCCCCTTGGGGGTAGATCTTCCTTGCCTGCCACGTGCACTTAGTGCAGCCCCCAAAACAGGGCAAGAGAGGACGGATGTAAGTGGGAGGGAGAAGGATGGAGTACGAGAGAGATCAGCAGGAGCGGGGCTAGGAGCAGAAACCACGTGGTATAACCAGAGGGCATATCGGGCGGGCAGACCCCTAGCGGCGGGTCGGAAAGGCGGGCCCAAGCGGCCAAGTCGAGCAGGCGGGTTGCGGAAGCGTGAGTCCTATTGGAATCGCGAGGATATCTGCAAGTAGCTCATTAGAAAAGCCAGAGCGTGGGCGTGATTCCCGAGTGTCGAGGGCGCGGCGTTGAATGAATTGCGGGGAAGTCCCACGCGAAAGTGCCATTCTTGCATATATTGTGAGGAAGTCCAGCGCGAGAGCGTGATCCTGGAATCAATCGTGAGGAAGTATCTGGCGGGAACTGCTGCTGTCGTAAGCCAGGGGGGCACGGTTCAAGTTTTAGGAAGAAGACTTGCCCTGACAAAACATGAGGGTTCTCGCCCCGAGGGGGGCGCTTCAGTTGAACAAATCTAATGCGTACAAATGGGTTCAACATACTTTCTTTTCGAAGAATGAGAACTTAACAGCACTAACAATCATGTTAAGACTGCTCGCTCTTATCTGCCCGCGTGCCATTCAACACGTATATCCCAAACCGTCGATACCCGACCACCCTGTTTTCGATCGTAGCCCCTTGGGGGTATATCTTACTTACCTGTCGCGTGTAATTGGCGCAGCTCCTAAAAAGGGGGAAGGATGGGGAGAAGTGAAAAGGCAAGGGGAAGGGAGACGGATGGAATACGAGAGAGATTTGCACGAGGAGGGTTAGGAGCAGGAGCGCAAGCGGCAGAACCAGACGGGCAGATCGGTCGGGCGGAGTTTAGCGGGCAAGTCGGGCGGGCGTGCTCAGATGGCCAGGTCGAGCAGGCGGGTTGCTGAAGTGTTAACCCACCCCATTATGAAGGGAGTTTCGAACGATAGCGCGATCCCAAGCAAATCGCTAGGACATCCAAAGCGAAAGCGTGATTCGTGGTGAGTCTTCGGGGCACGGCGCCGCAATCAAATGTGAGTAAATACCACGCGAGAGCGCGATCCCTGCATATATTGTGAGGAAATCTCTCTCTCTCTCTCTCGAGACAGAGACAGAGAGAGAGAGAGCGCTTTTGAAATACATTGTGAAGAAGTATCCCGCGGGAGCCGTTGTCGTTGTACACTGGGGGCCTGGGTCGCAGTTTGGTGTCCACAGTTTTTTTTGTTGCTTGTTTTTTTAGTTTGTTATGTTATAACAATAACAGTTTGCCACGCAACGGTCAACGGGCAGAGGCGATCAAGACGAATTCTTAATTAGGATCGTTCAATCAACAACAACATCAGCAATCATTAAAAGACTGTTGGCTCTTACCTGTTCGCGTGCCACTCATTACGTACATCCCAAACCCTCGGCACCCGCCCTGTTCGTTATCATCCTTCATTGCCGCGTGTAATAGGTGCAGCCCCTAAAACTGAGGAGAGGACGGGGGCGAGGACCAGCAAACACGTGGCAGAATCAGACGGGCAGATGGGGCGGGTAGACCTTGGCTGGCTGGTGTGGAAGGCGGGCCCAGGCGGCCAGGACGAGCAGGCGGGTTGCTGAAGCGTGAGTCCTGAATGAATCGCGAGGTTTCCCGAACGTTAGCCGGATTCCCAAGTGAATCATGAGAAAGTCCATTGCGAGAGCGTCATGCTTGAGTGTCGAGGGCGCGTCGTTCGAACAACATTTTGAGCAAGTCCCACGCGAAGGCGCCATCCGGCATACATTCTGAGACAATTCCGCGAGAGCGCGATTTTCCAACACAGTGTGAGGAAGTATCGTGCGGGAGCCAGTTTTTTTGTAGCCGGGTGGCCAAGGGCGCAGTTTGGTGACCCCACATTTGCATTGCAAAAAAACCCCGGGGGGAGCATTTTCATTGGAAAAGCACAACGGTCACCCGACAGGGCGGATCAACGCCAAGTACTCTTTAGAAGTGGGAACCCAACAACACAGGAACAATAACAATAACACCACCAGCAACATCATCATCATCACCAACAACAGTAAATATATAACCATCAATTTAAGGCTGTTGGGGCTTAGCTGTTCTCGGGCCACTCGACAAGTATATCCCGAACCCTCGGTACCCGCCCTCTTCGTCTTCGAACGTATTCCTTTGGGTGTATATCTTCTTTTCTTGCCACGTGCATTTAGCGAAACCCCTGAAACAGCAGAAGAGAGGGCGGATGGAAGGGCGGGGGAAAATGATGGACTACGAAAGACACTAGCAGGAGGGGGTCGGGAACAGCGTGGGAGAACCAGGCGGTCAGATCGGGCGGGTAGATCCTAAGGGGCGGGTCGGGAAGCCGGGCCCAGGCGGCCAGGTCGAGCAGGCGGGTTGCTGAAGTGTGAGTCCTGAATGGATCGCGAGGCAGTGTCCGAACGATAGCGCGATTCCCAAGTAAATCGTTAGGACATCCAATGCGAGAGCTTGATTCCAGAATGTCGAGGGCGCGGCTTTTACATTGTGAGGAGTTTCCGCGAGAGAGTGCGATTTTCGAACGCAGTATGCGGAAGTAACAGGCGGGAGCCAGTTTTTTGTAGCCGGGTGGCCAAGGGCGCAGTTTGGTGACCCCACATCAGCATTGCAAACAACAAGGTGCGAACCCCAGGGGGATCATTTTCATTGAAAAAGCACAACGGTCACCCGACAGGGCGGATCAACGTCAAGTAGTCTTTAGAAGTGAGAACCCAAGAGCACAGGAACAACAACAATAACACCACCACCACCAGCAACATCATCATCATCACCAACAACAGCAAACACAGCAACGGTCAATTTAAGGCTGTTGGGGCTTAGCTGTTCGCGTGCCACTCGACAAGTATATCCCGAACCCTCGGTACCCGCCCTCTTCGTCTTCGAGCGTACTCCTTTTGGGGTGCATCTTCTTTTCCTGGTGTTGTCACGAAGATTCCTTCTGATAGTTTACAGGGTGCGAGCCCCGAGGGGGGCACTTCAGTTGAAAAACGCAATGTGCACATATGAAAGAGGTAGCAGCAACAACAACATCAACAGCAACATCAACAGTGACGGAACACCAGCGCCAGCAACAACGGCAACAACACCAACATTCATTTGAAGACTGTTGACTCTTACCTGATCGCGTGTCACTCAACACGTATATCCCAGGCTCTCGGTACCCGCCCTTCCTATTCTCGATCGCAATCTATTCGGGGTACATGTTCCTTCCCCGCCACGTGCATTTAGCGCAGCCCCTCAAACAGGGGAAGGGAGGATGGATGGGAAGGGGGGGGAAGGATGGAACACGATGGGAGAAGAAACGCAGGAGGGGGCTGGGGCCAGAAGACGCGTGGCAGAAGCAGACGGGAAGATCACGTGGATAGACAGCGGGCGGGCCGGGAAGGCGGGCCCAGCCGGCCAGTTCGAGCAGACGGGCTGCTGAAGCGCGGGTCCCGCATGAGTCGCGAGGAGGTCCCCGAACGACAGCTCGATCCTGAATCAAATCCTCGCCAGAGCGACAGCGCCACTCCTGAGTGTGGAGTGCGCGGCGTCTCAACAACTTGCGAGGAAGTCTCACGCGGGAGCGCGATTGTTGTTTAACTTGTGAGGGCGTCCCGCGAGAAAGCGCGATGTTTGAATACGTTGTGAAAAAGAATCAGGCGGGAACCGTTGTTGTTGTAGCCTGGGGGCCAGGGAAAATGGTGCAACCAATCATTACATGTGCACCGGTGGGGGGAATTAGCAATAAGTATCATTCAAAAATGAAAGTTCAACCACAACACTCAATTTGAGACCATGGACTTCTATCTGCTCGCGTGCCACTCGACACGGATGTCCCAAACCCTCGGTACCCGCAATCGTCGTTTTCGATCGTACCACCTTGTGGGTCTGCCTTCCTTGCCCGCCGCTTGCATGTCGTGAAGCCCCTGAAACGGGGGGCGAGAGGACGGACGGAAGGGGGGAGGGACAGGGATAGATAGAGCACGAGAGAAATTAGCAAGGGGGGGGGGTGAGGAGCAGAAACCACGTCGCAGAGCCGGGCGGGCAGACCCTGGCGGGCGGGTCGAGTGTGCGGGCACCGGCGGCCAGTGTCGAGCAGGCGGTGTGCCGCGAAGTCTCCGAGCGACAGCGCTATCAGGTGAAGCGAGGGCGGATAGAAGGGGGGGGGGAAGGATGGAACACGAGATAATTCACCAGAGACAAAAGTACTACTACCACCAGCTAGGGGGGTGGTTGTCCCACCGCTTCGAGCTGGTGGCACCTCGTTCAGGGCATGCCTCCATAGAGTGCCCTGAAGGAGGTGCCACCAGCTCGAGGGGAGGGAGCGGCCACTCCCCTAGCTGGTGGTATTGGTACTTTTGTCTCTCCTGAAAAATTCAGCAGGAGGGGGGCTAGGACCAGAAAGCACGTGGCAGAACCAGACGAGCAGATCGGGCGGGTAGACCTGAGCCGGCGGGGAGGGAAGGCGGGCCCGTTCGGCCAGGTCGAGCAGGCGGCCTGTTGCAGCGTGAGCCCTGCGTGAGCTGCGAGGAAGTCTTGAGCGATAGCGTGATTCCCAAGTGCATCGTTAGGACATCCAGCGCGAGAGCGTGATCCCTGAGTGTCGAGGGCTCGGCGTTTTAATCTAGTAAAAAAAGATCCCACGCGTGAAGGCGATTTTCAATCGATTGGGAGGACGTCTTGCGCGAGAGTGCGATCTTCAAATGCATTGACGAAGCATCGGGCGGTGGCCGGAGTTGTTGTGGCCGGGGGCCCAAAGACGCAGCTGAGCTGGACAAGTTTCTGTGATTGAAAACATGGTGCAAGCCCCGAGGGGGGCATTCCACTTGAAAAACGCGGGGGGACAATACCTATTCTTCACGAGTGAGAGTCCAAGAACAACAGCAACAGCAACAACGACAATCATGTTAAGACTGTTCGCTCCTATCTGCTCGCGCGCGACTCAACACGTATATCCCAAACCCTCGGTGCCAGCCCTCTTCGTCTTCGATTGTGCCCCCAGTGAGGGCATATCTGATCCCAGGCTCCGGGCCCACGGGTCTTGCCCCCCCCGATGGGATGGGTATCAGGGTCTCTCGGATCGCCCCCCAGATGGGATGGGGGGGGGGGACGACGACGACGACGACGGCGACGGCGACGGCGACGGCGACGGCGACGGCGACGGCGACGGCGACGACGACGACAATGACGACGACGACGGCGGCGACGACGACGACGACGCCCTGCTCCTCCTCCCTCGTCTCCCCCGGGGCTTCGCACCGGCCTCCTCTCGCAGGGCTGGGCCTCTCCCGAGGGGGCGGGCGGTGCGTGCGCGGGCGCCCCTCGCAGGCGCTCAGCGACACGCACGGCTACCACCGGGCGGTGGACCTGCCCGACGGCGAGGCGGCAGCGGCCCGAGGGGAGGGGAGGGGAAGCGCGGGGCGGAGGGTGGGTGCGCGGGAGGGCAAGGGTTTTATGATGCTCGAGCCCACTTTAGCCTCGATCGCCAGGAAGAATTTCGAGCGCCCAAAAGAGTATCAACATTCAAAAGGGTTTCCACGTGTCGGGCCCTGGGAGACACTCGTCCGACACTGTTTCGACACTCTTTTGACATTTTTCCGGGTGCTCGAACTTATTTCTGGGATGTGGTGCTCAAGTAGCATGGGACCGCGGCGAGAAGGGGGGGAGGAGGGCTGCCCCCCCCCCCCCCATCTAAGCTGAAGTCGGGCCTGTCCCTCTACAGGAGGAGTGGTAAAACATAGTCAGGAAAATAGCCTGGGAATTATTTGTTTCTACTCCTTTTTGATTTTTGTTTGCATGTTTATCGTTTTTTTTGTTTTCATTCCTCGTCCAAAATTCGCCTGTAGGAGGACATGCCTGACCTAATGGTGAGCTCCACAAGCAGCAGACGGATCCCAGTGTCGTTGTTCGATCGATCGCTTGCCACCAGAATGTTGGGCTGCTGATCCATCGTTTGTCACCTGATCGATCGATGGATCAATTGTTGATCCATTGATTGATCGATCGTTTGTCAAATCGGGTTGATTGGATGTTTGACCGATCGTTCGTCACCCGACCACCCTCCAGGCAGTGCGCTTCACTGGCCCCCTTGCAGCTAAGACTGCCCAGCGAGGGAGGGAGGGAGGGAGAGAGCGAGAGAGAGAGAGAGAGAGAAACAGAGAAAGAGAGAGAGAGAGAGAGAGAGAGTTAGGGAGAGATAGGGAGAGAGAAATATAGAGATAGGGAGAGAGAGAGAGAGAGAGAGATAGAGAGAGAGAGAGTACAGGCTAAGTAGGAGGAAAGGATGGGCAACGGAGGGAGGAAGGACTCGGACGGGGCTAGCACGAGGATCGATCCGTCCCAGAGCTTCCCGGAACGCTCTCAGAGCGTTCTGGAACGCTCTGAGAAGGCCGCGACGCCCGAGACATCCTCCAGGTCCGCAGGATCTCAGAGATTCCCGATGTATTCTCGCCCGGATCTAGCTTCGCCTGGGCTTCGTCTTGAGGAAAGGGGCGGACCGGCGAGCGAGAGAGAGAGGGGGAGGGCGCAAGAGAGAGAGAGAGAGAGAGAGCGAGGGCGAGGGCGAGAGCGAGAACGAGAGCGAGAGAGAGAGAGAGAGAGAGCGAGAGCCAGGGCGAGAGAGAGCGAGGGAGAGAGAGAGAGAGAGAGAGAGAGAGAGAGAGAAAAAAAGAGAGGGGGCGAGAGCGAGAGCGAGGGCGAGAGCGAGGGAGAGAGAGAGGGAGAGCGAGAGCGAGAGCCAGGGCGAGAGAGAGAGGACCGCGGAGGCGCGGGCAGGCCGCAGCGTAGCGGCGAGCGCGCGCGGGCGCGCGCGCGCGGGCGGGGCGGGCCTGAGGCAGGCCGGCGGCGGGCGCGGGCGGGGCAGGGCGAGGGCAGCAGGCCGGGGGGGGGGGCAGACGCGTCGGGCCAGCCGCCCTCCGCCCCCCCGACGGATCGGGAGGGACGTCGTAAAACGACGCGAAGATCGGGAGAGAATCGGATCGGGATAACTCGAGATCTCTGAGAGTCGGCGGGTTTGGAGGATGTATTGGGCGCCGCGGCCGCTCTAGAGCGTTCCGGAACGCTCTGAGAGCGCTCCGGAACGCTCTGGAGCGATTTATCCCGATCCTAGCCCTGTTTTACAGACAGGTCGGGCCGGCCGCCTTTCGCCCCCAGACTGATCGGGAGGGACATCGTGTGCGCAAGCAGAACTCGGGGGCGGCCCTTCGGCGGGGTCCTTCCCCTCGGTATCGTTTCACCCATCCGAAAGAGCGTGTTCTACCGCTGCTGGCGGAAAACCGGGGGGGGTCACTACCGGTTCGAACCCCTCCCCCCCCCCCCCCCAGCTCATCATGAAAAGGGGGGGGGGGTCACTACCGGTTCGAACCCCTCCCCCCCCCCTCGAAAACCGGGGGGGGTCACTACCGGTTCGAACCCCCCCCCCCTCGAAAACCGAGTGGGGGTGCGGACAGTGGTGGGGACGGTGTTGGTGGGGACAGTGGTGAGGGGATAGCGGGACAGTGGTGGGGACAGTGGGACAGTGGGACAGTGGTGGGGACGGTAGTGGTGGGGACAGTGGTGGGGACAATGGTGGGAACAGGGGGGGACAGTGGACAGTGGTGGTGACGGTGGTGGTGGGGACAGTGGTGTGGGGACAATGGGAATGAGGTGGAAACAGTGGGACAGTGGAGGGTACAATGGTGGTGGGGACAGTGGTGAAGGCGGTGGCGAGGACGGCGGTGGGACAATGGGACAGAGGTACAGTGGGGACAGTGGTGGGGACAGTGGGGACAGTGGTGGGAACAGTGGGACAGCTCAGTGGGACAGCGGAGGAGTCAGTGGGACAGTGGGGACAGTGGGGATAGTCGGGCAGTGGTTGGGGCCGTGGAGACAGTGGGGAGAGTGGAACCGTGGTGGGAACAGTTCTGGGGACAGCGGGGACAGTGCGACAGTGGTGGGGCACTGGTGGGGACAGTAGGGGCGGTGGTGGAACCAGTGGGGACAGTGGTGGTGAGGACAGTGGTGCTGGGAACACCAGTGGGGGATGTGATGCGGACGGTGGTGGGGACCGGGAGTCGTTTGCTGGCGGTGAGTAGGGGGGGGGGGGGGTTCGAACCGGTAAGTGACCCCCTCCGGTTTTTCCGGATCCGAAGGGTAGGGGGGGGGGGGGGGGTTCGAACCGGTAGTGACCCCCCGGTTTTCGGATCCGCGAACCGGTAGTGACCCCCCCGGAGCGGGGGGGGGGGGGGGAGGGGTTAGGGGAGGGGGGGGTTTTGCCGGAGGGAGGGGGGGGGGGGGGGGGGAGGGGTTTCCGGCAGGGGGGGGGGATTTTCGGAGGGGGGGGGGGCGACCCCCGGGCTCCGGAGGAAAAGGTTGGCAATTTTCCACAGTAAAGCGGCGGTGGATCACGCTCTCTCACCCATCCCCATCCCCATCACCACCCCCTTCGAGGCCCCCGCAAAGAAATCATCACCCCAGTGGGGGCTGCACCCGTCGAAGCCCGAAGGGAGCGACCCATATCCCCATCCAGGGGGGTAAAGTCGGCCAACGGGGCCCAGGCCTCGGGGGCGGCAAAGAGGGGGGGGGATGACTGGGGGGATGGATCTGCAAGCGGTGCCAAAAAGCAGTACGAGGGCGATTGCTCGACTGCTTTTGTGAATGTTTGACCCTCTGTTCACTGTCATAAAAATCGACGTCCAAAATCCACCCGAGGGCGGCAAAGAGGGGGGGGGGAGGGATATCATGGCGGGGGCCATGATTGTGCCCCAGATCCCATGGCGCCTCTTCTTGTTTCGTTACGTCCCTGGCCCCCCCGCTGGGCCGCGCACGTGCCGCCGGTCATGATTTGCGCCCCCCCCTCCCCCCTTTTTTGGACACCCCCCTCTTGGCCGCTCCCGAATAAACGCTCGTCGATTCCCAGGGCCGTCAGATACGATATGGGAGATGGAGGGGAGCCTCCCCTCCACATCCCTCCTCCACTTCGGAGCACATCTGGCACGCTTCGTGGCATCCATGGGGATCTCCACAGAAGGCTCCAGTGGCTGCGTCCGCCTGGTGATCGGTCTTATGTCGGGCCTTTCCATCTACAGGAGGAATATTCAAACATAGTAGAAAATAATCGGGGGACGGTTTTTTAGTGTTTGATTGAGCATTTGGGGTATTGCTTGACCTTTCGTAAACATTTTTTCCTCGAGGATCTGCATGCAGGGGGACGTGCCCGACCTAATCCCATGTTGACCATGGAACTCACTGGGGATCCGGGAACCTCTTCACGTGTATCGGGGAGCCACCGAGCCCCCCATCAGGGAAGCTCAAGGCACAAGGCTCAGGGCGCGAGGGCGCCCCCCTGGCTGGCCTCGCCCGCGGTGCTCCCCTGCCTCCATCCCCTCCGTTGCCAGCTGCCCGTCCCCCGCCTCCCCCTCCTGCTCAAGCGGTGGCGAGGCGTCTCGGCTCGCCTAGAGGGTTACCAGATGATGTTCTGAGGACCTTTTGTGGTTTGCGCGAGATGTTCTCGGAACATTTCTGGCCGAACCCGTGTTGTTTTAGCACATCGGGCTCATGCTCTAAGAACGTTTCGTTTTGTTTTGCTGTTAGAACATGTTTGGGTTCTAAGAATGTTGCAGGGGTAGGTTTACAGGAATGCCGGGACGGTCGGTCCCTGCTCAACCTGTGCCGTTGGGCTCCCCCTCTCTGCTCCCGCCCTCTTCCCTCCCCCCTTCCTCCCCTTCTTGCAGTCGACCCGCACAGTAGGGATGGGCAGCCTCCCCAAGGGTTCCCCTTGCATCCTTACCTCCTCGGCCCGCCCTTGACCACTCTCGTGGGCCGCTCTCCGAGGCGGGAATCTATACATGACCGCCGCCTGGAGGATCAATCTTCGGGGACCTCGGCAGGCGGTGGACATGGATGCATTCGGGCCCCTGGGGGCCCACATATATCCAGAACCACAGCCGCTGGGGCACCAGGACGTCGGTTCCCGGGCGGTGGATATGGATAAATCCCCGCCTCGCACGCTCCCCGCTCGAAAAGCTTCGAGACGGGCGTCTCAGGCCCTTGCCTCGTTATCGCGCATCCTTCTGCTACGGGCCGACTGCCCTGAGCGGCCTGAATATAGCAAATCTAGGAAGTGGGGGGAAAGACGAAGCCCTAGAAAGCATGGGAATCTATGGGTGATCCTCGGATTTATGTAAACTTATTTGTGTGCCCCTGGGCCCCTTTACAGATCTCCACCGCCATGCCAGAAACTTAACTATGCCCCCTCGGTCGCCAATTCTTTCGCGCCCCTGATGCAGAATTTGCTTTGCACTGGGCCGATGTGGGGCCGAGCGTTTCGCCGGAGTGACTTGCGGTTCGTGGCTTCCAGGCGGCGCAGTGGTTTGGTGGTGCAAGCCCAAACGCGCACCAAGTGTTACTCTTTCCCAGGGCTCCTCTTTCGTGTGAAGTCAGCCCGCATAGTAAGGATGGGCAACCTTCCTAAGGGTACCCATGCTTCCTTGCTTCCTCGGTCCATCCTTGGCCACTTTTATTGGCCGCGCCCCGCTCGAAAAGCTTCGACATGGGCGCCCGAGGCCCTTGCATCCTCATCGCGCATCCTTCTGATACTGGCCGACTGCAGCTCAGAGCGTGAATTACCCACCCCGCTTTCGCTTCCAGGCAACACCAAGTCATACCGTACGCCTCCCCGTCAGGCGGCCTGACCAGTACATGCCGTAGTTTGGCACCGCCTGGCATCTCGTGGAAGCGAGGGTGGTCCAAAGCGAGGTAGGGGTGTTTGCCCCCTAGTAGCAGACTTCGTTCAGGAGGGGAAAAAACGCACAGACACAATTCATCGGCGATTCCCAGAAAATATGGGAAACTATGGGAAGTGGGGGGGAAGACGAAAATCCAGAAAATATGGGAAAAATATGGGGAATCTTTTGATTTGTGTGCATTTCTTTGTGTGTCCTGGGGCCCCTTCAGGGCGGTCCAAAGCGAGGCAGGTTTGCTTGCCCCCTTAGCAGCCGACCTTCAGTGCCGCGAGGTGCTCCTCTTCCTCGGGGACGCCGTGGGCAACTACGGCCGGCACAGCGACCTGAGGGGGGGCCTGAGCGCGTTCTTCGACTGGCTCGCGGCACAGAGCAAGCGCTTCGCGCAGGCGCGGGGCCCCGGCCCGCCGAGCGCGAGGGGATTGGGATGGAGGAGGAGGAGGAGGAGGAGGAGGAGGAGGAGGAGGAGGAGGAGGAGAAGGAGGAGGAGGAGGAGGAGGAGGAGGGGAGGAGGAGGAGCAGGAGGAGGAGGAGGAGAGGAGGAGGAGGAGGAGGGAGGAGGAGGAGGAGGAGGGAGGAGGAGAGGAGGAGGGAGGAGGAGGAGGAGGAGGAGGAGAGGAGGAGGAGGGAGGAGGAGGAGGAGGAGGAGGAGGAGGAGGAGGAGGAGGAGGAGGATGAGGATTGGAGAGGAAACGCGCCATAAACATACATTTTTGGGCGCTCCGCGGGGGTTTCTTGGATCCGCGCTGGGCCCCCCCGGTGGCGCCTCCGGCGCCGCCCCTGGCGCGCTCCGCGCGGGAGGGGGGTCCAGCGCAGATCCGAGACAACCGCGCGGAGTTCCAGAAAAATATGATTGTACTGAAGAAGATCGAGGAGACGGAGCGACTGCTGGATCGACTCTTACCATTTGGCACGCTTGCGGCATACACCCCTACCGTGTCAATCGCCTGGGTCACGCACGGGTCACAAATGGGCCTCGTCACAAAGGAAGATCGAGGAGAAGGAGAACGATGAGGGGGTGGAGGATGATGAGGAGGAGGAGTTTGATCGAGGAGGGTCGAGGAGAGGGACGAGGACGAGGTTGAAGTGTGTTTCTTTATTGCTTGGGGCATAACGGGCGTCATAGCCCCCGGCCCCCTCCCATTGCAGTAACGCCCCCCCCCAGTGCGCTCCAGGCACTGCCGCCGTGCGCATCGGGATCCGCATAGGCGTCCGCATAGGTGTCCGCATAGGAGTCTTGTCCGCAGTCGTCGTCGTCGTCGTCGTCGTCGTCGTCGTCATCGTCGTCGTTATTGTCGTCGTCGGCGTCGTCGTCGTCGTCGTTGTGGCCATCGTCGTTGTCGCTCGTCGCTCGTCGCTCGTCGCTTGTCGCTCATCGTCGTCGTGCGCGCGGACGCGGCTGGAGCTGTTGTTTTGGTTAAAGAAGAAAACTCGGGCCGATGACGGCCGTCATCTGGGGGGGTGCGGAGGGGGCCGATGACGTCACGTTTCGCGTTGGCGGCGAGTAGGAATGCTTAGGAATGACCGAGGACAGGTAGCAACAGCATGTAGGTGGCGATATGCACCACGGCGCCTGTTGGGAATGCTTAGGAATGACCGAGAACGGGTAGCAGCAGCATGTAAGTGACGATATGCACCACAGCGCCTGTGTACACCACACCGCCTATGTACACCACAGCAGCCGCGTGCAACATAGTGCCGGTGTGTGTGTGTGTGTGTGTCACAGTGCATGCGGGCACCACAGCGCTTGTGTACACCGCAGCGCCTGGTGCACCACATCAGTCGTCTGCAACACAGCACCAGAGTGCACCACAATGCTTGCGCGCACTACAGCGCGTGTGTACACCACGGCGTATCCGGGCAGCACATCAACCGTGTGCAACAGAGCACACGTGTTGCATGTAGAAATTTAGAAGGAACCCTTGTGACAAAATGGAAGGTCTTGCGGATTCCACAGAAAAGTGGGAAAGCAGTCCTTGTGGAAAAAGGAGCGCCGTGGGAATCTACGATTTCTCCCGACTCCGCCCGCGTCATCGTAACTCTTCTCTTCTGGGTCCAGGACGCTCCAGCAGACGTGACCCGTCCGAGGAGGCGGAGGAGGAAGAGGAGGGGGAGGTGGAAGAGGAGAGGGAGGAGGAGGAGGAAGACGATAATGATGATGAAGAGAAGGAGGATAACGAGGACGAGGAAGAGGGAACGTAATTATGTTAACAATGTTAATACGAGTGGTAATACTACTACTAATATCATTATAATGAATATTCCTTATCATACTACGACAAACAAATTGACGATTAATAATAAGCAAGCACTAATACCAATACCAGTATTAACACTATTAATGACCATACAAAGAGGGGTGCTAATAAGATCACTAAAAAAGGAGTACGCTACAATGACTAAGAAGACACTTAGAATAAACATACTGTTTAGAAGGCGATGACCAAGACTGGTAATACGAACAGCCATAAGAAGAAACCATACTATTATTAACCATACTAATCATAATCATCATACTACCAAGAGGAACGATGTACACCGGCGCTGTGGTGCACGCAAGCACTGTGGTTGACACGGGCGCTGCGTTGCACGCGGCTGTCGCGGTGTACGGACGCGTTGTGGTGTACACACGCGCTGTGATGCACGCGAGCATTGTGGTGTACACAGGCGCTGTGGGGCAGATCGCCACCGACATGCTGCTCCTAGTTGGCTGTGGTCACCCCCAGGCATTTCTGGACGCCGCCGTCGCGAAATGTGACGTCATCTGGGGGGGGGCGATGACGGCCGTTATCCCGGAAGGGAAATGTGCGGGCTTTTGTGGTGCTGGAACCACACGGCGGGGGGGTGCTTCACGCTATACCCTCACACGCCCCCCCTCTATGACGCCCGTTATCGCCGGAACTACAGCAACGCGCCTTGCAAGACGAGGAGGAGGATTGGTATCAGGATGATAGGAAAAAGGGGAAAGCGGAAGACGAGGAGGGAGGAGGAGAAGCAGGAGGAGGATCAAACAGTAGGAGGAGGAGGAGGAGGAGGAGGAGGAGGAGGAGGCGGAGGAGGTGGAGGAGGAGGAGGTGTATGAGAAACAGGGGGAGGAGGAGGAGGAGGAGGAGGAGGAGGAGGAGGAGGAAGAGGAGGAGGAGGAGGAGGAGGAGGAGGAGGCGGAGGCGGAAGAGGAGGAGGAGGAACAATAATAATAATAATAATATTATTAATAATAATACTAATAGTAATAATAATATTAAGAATAAGCATAATAATAGTAATAATAATCATGCGAATAAGAAGAATAACCATAATAAGAAGAAACATACGACGAATGGTAATAACAAATAAGAATAATAATACGAAGGCGACAACATACTACTATGAAGAAGGAGAAGAACACTAAGACGAA